AAAAATTCGCAATGAGGATTATAAAGTAGAACGCGAAGGTATGAATATCAAATGAGATATATTATAAACTTCTCTCTCTCCCTTATGAAGACTGCACCAAAGACGAGTGAACCTTCATCGGCAATCGTAATTAAACAACGTCTGACCATTTCTGACTCTCACTACTGCGTAAAATGGAAAAAAAAGAGACAATTGATTCAGTTGTTTTGACGCGGAGGTTCGTTGATGGTGCTGAAAATAGAACTGGAATATGCCTGTGCAAAGTGTGCGTGAGCTGTTGTGCCGCTAATGTTTTGTGTATTCAAATAAAGAGAGCTGCAATGTGCATTTTGCACGCGACCGCGGGCCTCTCTCCCGACTGCTTAATGACTTTATAATGCCTTCATCTGTCTCGCATTAAATCGCCGTCAATTCCGAGCTCCGTCTGCCTTCTTCGCAGCCATACTATGCTCATCCACTGGGCGCACGAACGCGCGCGCGAGCCTTCCCCATGCGATCGTTAATGAAATATATTGCCTTTTACCTGCCGCCGCCGCCGCTGCTGCCGCCGTCGCCGACGACGACTCACTGGCTTACCGCGCTGTCTGCGTCGAATTTTGCGTTCGAATCTGAAAATCGGCAGCTAGCGCTCGACGATTTTCGGATTGGTTTGCTCGCGGCCTGGTTTCTATCGGCAAGTTTTTGCGCGACTCGATCATCCATGCGAAAGTTTTATTGAGAAAAATGATCCATTGCAATGTACGAGTAAGGGGGAGACAATGTAACGAATAATTTTATCGGTGAAATCGATGTGAAGCAATATGCAGTTGTACGCAAGACGCTGGAGAAAGGCATCTATCGGCAGAAGAAGCAAGTGTAATAGAAGCGAATCGGGCGCGATAGGCCACGAGTGCACGGCGTTTAATAGCCAGAGGACAGCTGTCTCGCCCAACAAATTTAATCCAGCGGGCAGATTTACGGCAGAATAATATCGTCGACTTTAGTGCGAGAGCGCGCACGCAGCTTTGTAATTTGAATACGTCAGGGAAAAATTTCGCAGAGCGTGAGTGGCGCGGCAGGTTATACAGCGCGGCCGGGCCAAATCCGCGGCAATAAAATCGTCGATTAACGATTGACAATGTAAACTAATTAAGTTTACGAGAGCAGTATAACTCGCAAGCCTTGCGAGCAATATAATATTTGCCCGCGTCATGCGCCCATTCGCATGCTGATGAATTAGATGTTTTACAATTAATTCGTCGCTTGATTTATAGACTTCCCGTCTCAGTTTAGTGCGCTATTTCGATTTCGCATATATACCTAATATTCATCGAATCGCGATAGGCTATTTCATTTCGCGTACAACATTCTATATATAAATCGCTGCTAAAATTGAATCCAAAACTGGGCAATGTGCACTCCGCAATGAAAAAACGAAGAAGCGTAACGCGTCGACTTCCAAGACACCGCCGGTGTATCATCAAGTTCAATTTATTCCTTGTAAATCGCCGAAAAATACGTATACGCGCGCGCATAAAGGCTTTGAGCGACGTGCGCGCAGCTTCGGACAGCCACGCAGCTATTGAGGCTAACAGCTTCGCCACCTCTGTGTTTCGAGCGACGGCGGTCCCTTTCTCTCTCTCTCTCTCTCTCTCTCTTTCTCTCTTCTTGGCACGAGCGCGCGTGAACGCAGCATACGCACGAAATTCTTGAGTGGCGCGAAATCGCATCGTCCGCTATTTACGCCGACGGTTATGCTAATGCCTTCATGTCGCGTTTCAACGCCAAAGCAGCGGATCTCACGGGCGGCATTGGTAGCGCGGCTTGCAAGGCTCTGCGCGCGAGAGCCCTTCAATTTTTTTTCACAGCTCGCGCTGATTTACGGGCGACGCGCGGAGGAGCCGCCTCGAGGTATTGACGAGCGAGGAGATGTGCCGAGCTTACGATTATCGCAAGAGAGAGCTCGACTTTGAAACCCCATGTGCGCTTATTGCTTGCCAGTGCCGCTATATGTAGGCGTGAGTACTCGAAGAGTTATTGTCTAATTTTTTTTTGTGGGTTAGGCACTTGGTAAAAATATACTATTGAGAATTAATTTGTTAGCTTACGTTCAACATGTGACTTTTATAAAGACTTACAGACCTTTCGTTTACGTTCGAATGTTTGAAAATGAAATTTGGTACAAGTTATTCTAATCGTAAAATATCATAATTTGGCTAGAACACTTGATGATATCGAAGAGAAGTTGTTATATTATAGATTAGATGGAAATATTCAACCTAACCAGCATTCATTCGAACAATAATGTTTGGCTAACCCAAACCAATGTTTATCGCGAAATCTAGTGAGTTTGAGGAGTCGACCACGTCAACAAGGGCTTTGTGACATATCGAGCAATAAATATTTATCCATGTGTCTACAGTGGAATAGGTGGGATCGCATGCGCGTGACGAATTTCTAATTAAAGTCGAATGGTTAAGCTCGCGAGAGTTTGCAACGCTCGGCGACGGTGGCAGCAGCACATCGCGCGCGCCGCGCGGCATTGTTAAATCGGCGGTGATTTACGACGCGCGAGAGGTCATAAATGAGGAAATTTGCGAGTAAAATGATGACAATGGATGGGAAAGGATGATTTGTGGTGATTTCGGCTTTTTTTAATTTGAAAATATCCTTGCGCCAGCGCTTTTCTGCCGCGTTAATGGACGAATAACTCGCTGCCAGCGACAATCCCTTCTTTAACCCGTGCGTTCGTGCGTTTACAGTTATGGATACTTGGCGTTTAGCTTGATTCGTCGTTACCTTCCAATCGAAGTAGAAAACGCGTGATTGATAGCTTGCATTAGCAATGTACGCACGAATTTCCAGTTGTACGATATGAATCGCGAGCCACTCAATTTATCTCGCGGTTGATTAGAGTCATTTGCGCGAAGACAAACTTGCAAATTATAGGTTTTGGAATGAGCGTGAGTGACGGTAAATAATATGCGACGGTGCAATGGAGCGACGGCAATTACCAGCGGACGCTATAGCTGTCATAACTGAAATCAATATGCTAATTTGCAGCGCGAGACTTGCTGAAACTAATTAATTCGTGATTCCCTTAGAGCTTTATACACTATTGATTTATAAGTTTTGTCGGTGCATAATTCAACGCTACGATCAAGACGTCAAATGAGGCGCGCGCGCGCAACTAATCATTCGCCTCGAGACAACAAAGCCAAAGCTGGCAATGCGAGAACGACGTTATGCAAGGCTGCTTTTCAATTGGCGCGCGAGCGAGCGCTATTATCGCTCAAGATTGAATGGTGCCGTCAGTCAAAGAGGCCAACCTTTTTCCGGCGTCGTCGTTCAGCGAGAGGAGACTCGAAGCGAGCCGGATGACGCCTGCCCCGTGTCGATTTTCCAATCGCACAATAATATAATTACAGGCCGCGAGCTCGAGCGAGCGCTGCGCCAAGCAACGGATCCGCGCGTCGCGTGCCCAACTCTTCTGCCCCCCGGCCCTTGGCTTCGCGCGAGCTCTGAGCATTTATAAACATGCCTGTTTGTTCTCGGTGCTCTAACAAAAACCCAATTGTTCGATTGCTCGAACGCGTAGAAAAACTCCAGAGACGTTTCTTGCTGTTTTCAACAATTCCGTGAATAGTTTATTTACGACTTGTTGAAATATTTTCAAGATTATTTGTTACCACAAGGTAAATTAATAAAAAAGAGCCTACTTGAAAAGTTTTTGCATTCACATGTAAGATTATGCTTCGATCAAGTCAATAATAAAACGAGACAATCACGTAAGCACACCTTTTCAAATGAGGCTTCTTCGAATGATATCGATCAAGCTGTTCGCGGATATACATAAGAAAACGAGCTCGAATACGGTATTTCCTTCTTCAAATCGGTAAAAATTTAAAGCGCATCCTGCCTGTTCGAAGCGGAAGCTCTCGTATACCTTCTTGTGTCTTACATATTTTATTTTACTAGTCATTTGTATTTTCTAAAGTTATATTGTGCATTATTAATTTTTTCGCAAGAAATAATGGTTCGCTTCGGATTTCATTCCATTTAGTTAAGAAGCCAGAATAACCGCGGTAGTATTGCACTTTTAATCGCAAATTCAATAGAGCGATTTCCAATGTGACCGAATACGGCCAAGACACGGAAAAACGACACGTATTCCAAAATGTTTGACATATTGACGTTCAATTTAATAATCGTCAAGTTTTCTCTGCTAGATCGCAGATGGATGTATCGATCGCTCTTGCAAAAATTCAAAGTAGACTAGTAGAAGTAGCTTTATTCGAGAAGGGAATATCACGTTTGACAAATCAATTGTAATTGACAATTAATGAAATTAATATATCAGAGATCGTACTACTGAAATATATTTATAATAAATTTTTAAGTAAAGTAATAGCGGGTAAACACATACGCGAGATAATCGATGAAATCACCCGGCAAAAGGTGAATCGAGTCCGTGCGATCGAGGCATCGCAGCGAAGCAGAATACCGCGCACGCGAGGACAAGGAAAATGGTTTTCATGCATGAGCTGCTTCGTTTCTCTCTCTCTCTCTCTCTCTCTCTCTCTCTCTCTCTCTCTCTCTCTCTCTCTCTCTCTCTCTCTCTCTCTCTCTCTCTCTCTCTCTCTGGCGATTATTCGCGCCGGAAATATCGAGTTCTGTTTAAACACCGGTCATTACGTCTTGGCTTCGTGACTCGACTTTGCTATTTGCACAGACGAGTCTTGTACCAGGTAAAGACAAGCAAAAAAAATAATAAAATAAAATAATAATAATAAAAGGAGGACAAGAAAAGTACACAACTCGTGAAAACTTTAGCAGTCAATTTAACTCAATGCGGAATTTAACTGATCTGCTGCTGCTTATTCAAAGATACTTTACCTGTGTATTCGATCCTTTTTTACGGGTTTTGTTCAGAAAGGGAAAGACAGGTTGAGGATATAGGCGAAGAGTAAAAATATGATTTCATTGCATTTTTACTTATAATTTATTGCTTCCATCTTTGCTTACTTTGTTTTGTCTTTGTTGTTTTATAAATAAAAGTCGTGTGTTAGATTATTGCACTGGGAATTCAGCGTCGCGAGGAAACGAACAAAGTAGTGAAATAATTGAATCGAAAATCATTAACATTGATCATTCACTCTCTTGTACACACAATCGCACTCATTATACTCTTTGTTAATTAAGAGTGCCACAATTTTTTCGTCGCCACGGGACATATTTACAATGGCAGTACGCTAACAATGCTCATAATAACGTGCCCTAATACTAATAGTCTAGTAATGCGCCTCGCGCATATTCTTTATGTCTCACAGAACGTACAAAATAAAATAATGACCTCGTCACACATCAATGTCGAAGCAAAAATATAGTGTCTTGTCTCGAACAACGATGTGTCGTGCGTGTATGTTAGTGTCCACGAATACTGAAAGTAAAGCGCCAACATATATAATATAAATAACGAGATAATAACGGTATACGGAGACGCGCTATTTAATGCATTTATACGAAATATACACAGCTTATAGTACATCAGAGAAAGATAGAATGACGCGTTTATATAAATATGTACAGATGCCTAAGATACACGTTTAACCATCAAATAGTACGTAAAGTCTGATAATCTGCCGCCCCCCCCTCCCCCTTCTGTTACTCATTACCCTCTAGTATTCTAAAATGCACATATTTACAAAACACAGACGAACGATTTCGGTGGCTAGTCCCAAGGGGCAGGACTGGCCGTGTCAGGCCTCGACTACGACGGCGACAAGTCCTGAGCACTCATAGCACCAACACTTTCCGTCGGCGACGGTGTCGTCCGTCTCGACGGCGACGAACCTATCTGCGTCGACGACTTGAGCGGCGTCCTCGGACTGGAGTAAGGCGAGAATCTGTGATGAGCCAAACTCAAGGCTGTTGGATAAACCGGTCGCGGTGCTGCGGGTCCAGTGTTGGTGCCACTCGCACCGCCAGGACTGCCGGCCGAGCTCGACGCCAATTGCTGCTGCTGCTGCTGCTGCTGCTGCTGCAGTTGATGGGCCGCGGCGAAGCCCAACGACGATGCCCACCACAACTGGCCCAGCTGCTGCTGGGACTGCGGTTGCTGTTGACTCGAGCCTGCCACTCCGGGATAGGCCAAGGCAGGATTGACGAGCTGGGCGTACGGGCCGACGGCCGCGGCCGCCGCGGCTCTAAAGAATATCGAGGAGCGCGCCGCCCACATCGCCTTCTCTTCGAGCGTGAGATTCGTCGCCGCGGCGGCGCTCGACTGCAGCTCGTCCATCTCGAAGGGGAATCTGTGGGGAAACCTTAGCGACTGCTGCTCTGCCAGCAGCGACTGCATGGTGTCCCTGTAAGGATAACTGTGCTTCATTACACCAGTCGCTTTGCGTGAGATCCTCGCGAGGTCCGTGAGCAAGAAAGTTCGCGCGGGCCTGCAATTGGATACGGCTGTTTTTTCGTGGTTTTTTTCGCCAATACGAATCAATTGTTAGGGATTTTAATGCGTGTGTAGTCTCGTGTTTCCGTACGTTTTTCCTAGCGCCCGGGCGCGAGAGCGCTCATCTCGCGCGCGGCGCATTCATACACAAAACATGTGCTCCGCGCGCGGAATCTGAATGGGCGCGGCGCCGCGCGAGGCGAGCCCGCGTGGCCGTGTGAAAAGTCAAGCCATTCGAGAGTGACGGCGAGAAAGCATGCAAAATCCACACAGCGGGGAGCGCGGCTGTAGAGCGCGAGCCAATGGAAAAGCCTGCACGCCGAGCGAGGAACAAGAGAGCTCTTAAAAATAATTGAACCAACCTCTCGAAGTCGGTGAGCCTGGACGAGTCCCGGAAGCCTTTGGCGAAAGGATTGCAGTCGATCTTCAGCTTGGTAATCTGAAACAGAGAGAGAAGAGAATGCAAAGCAAAGATCAGTATAACGACTCGCTCTCGCACTCGCATCTACATATAAATCCGCTGGTACAGTCGAAATTTCACGCTCCGAGCGTGCAATCGTCAAGAGGGGAGAGAGAAATCTCGTTCTTTCGGCAGCCTCGATCCGGACTCAACGGCTCGTAAAATTAGGGAGCGATCGTCGCGCCAAAGTGAGGGCGTTTGTTTAAAAGGCCCGAGGCATATACTGCCATGCCGTACCGCTGCCGCCGATCGATTCCCATCCCCCTTCCCCTTTTCAACCGGGTAGATTTGTTTTGCAGAGGCTGCCTGTTGTTTAGGGCTGCAGAAATGAGACTTTTATTTCTTCGACATGAGTAACTCGCCTGATAAGGGGTATAAATTTGTGACGCCTTTAAATCTCCAGATTTTGGGAGATTTTTAGATTTTTCCCTTCTCTTCTGACTAGCGGAGAAATGGTAGAACGTGCGCCTCGTTATACACTGAATTCTTTTAATGCCACATATATTTTCATGCTTGCTATTCACCAAGAATGAAAAATTTAGTCTTTGAAATATAGTCTAGTATCTCCTTTCAACTTTTATAATAGAATCGGTTCGTAAATCTTTGAAGGAACAAGTTTTAAATTTGTACTCGTACGTTGCACGGTGGAGACAAACGTAAAAAAAAAAAGAGAATCCGTTCTAAAGTGACTTGCAAAGTGAAGAAATGATGGTGGTTTGCAATTACGATTCTTGTTCACTTTTACAAACATTTACCCCGTAACGGCGTACTGATAAGAGTAAGTAAAAACCGAAAAGGAATCGTGCCGTAGTCGTAAAACCACGAAACTACCTTATAACGTATCCCTTGCAGTGTTAATTAATGAACCAATCTACAGCCTAATTACCAAGGCTTTCCAGTACACACACTGAGATATCCGCAGATGTATTTATCATTCCAAACTCGTGAGAGCTCCCTCTCTCTCTTACTCTCTCTCTCTCTCTCTCTCTCTCTGTGTCTCAAACATCATCATTATAATAAAGCCGCATTAACTCAGGCGCGCGCGTTGCAAGTCTCTCACGCTTCTGGTGCGCTCGTAAAAGGTTTGCACGCGGCGAAAACAGTCGCGCGGCATACCTAATGACAAGGCTGAGCTCTTCCTCTTCTCTCTCTCTCTCTCTCTCTCTCTCTCTCCCGTGTGCATTCGGCTATCAATTATCGCGTTTGACGGGCGCCGCCGCCGCGTAACTTCTCAGTGACGAGTTTGCATATCGGGGCCTTGTCGATGCACATTAGTCGCGCTATACTTTTGCGCACCGCGCTCCGCGGATTAACCGTTTCTGCGTTTATATTTTTGACATGTGGCTCTTCAACGGTAAATTCATAAGCTTCCACTTTTCTCGTTGGATCTTTCGCGTGACGCGTATGTAGGTTTTGAATGGTCGTCTTTTTATGTGTGGTCCGTTATTTATCCGGCCGACTTGCGACGCATTTTCGTTACAAGAATCGAAAGGAAATGCAAATTAAAATTAAAATTAGTAGCTTTGCCTCGCTGCATATCTTTTGCAAGTCATTAATTTCACGAACAGTCGCTAGCGATGATTTACAATCGCATTTTGCATGCAAGTACTTGGAATGATGATCCTCGGAAAATAAGAGAAACCTAAGAGCCACTAAGTCCGTGATCTTGGACATTGTGTACGCTGTATACAGTTGACAGACATCCGACGATCGCCGCCGCGCTCACTTTCGAAAGCCTCTACCTCAAAAGTAACGAAAAAGAAGAAGACGCGAGACTGTCTGCTGCGGTTAGGAGCATCAGCCCACGCATATGTATTGATCCTTCTCAAAAAGCTCAGCTTAAAATCGAGTGTCTCCTCTCTGTGACGGCACGCGCATCTGGCCACCCAAGCCGCGAAACGGATGCGCAGGTGGTTCGATCATCCTTTACGCATAAGGGGCAGCTAAAGAAATTCGAGAGAGAAGGGAGGGGGGAGGTGTTTCGTAACAAGAAAAAGAGAGAAAAAAAAATGTGCAGCGCGACAGTCGCGTAATGAGATTGGCGTTTACGACTACTGGCACTCGAAGTTTTCGTATCGCGACGACGATGCATATTTATCGGGCTGCATATATACGTATACGCACGAGGTAGCTGAGAGGCGAGAAGTTGACTGACAGCTCGGCCCCGGCTGGTTTGCGTCAGTTTAAAAGGCCGCCAGAAGAGGACCTGCGAGCGTTGCACGACGGTGAAAGTGGCCCTGCACACGCGCCTGCACGAGGAGGTGGGAAAAACGGATTGCGATCGGCAAACAATGTAACCATCGGATTAAGTTTCTAATGGTAATTGTCTGCTTTTTTCTTCCTCCCCTCTGACTGTACACTCATCGACTTCCATTACACCGATACATTAATCATTGAGGGCGTATGCCGGCAACTCAAGATTCCAGATACGACCGCAGCAAGAAACTACTCTTGAAATTAAGTTATATAGAGCCTCGCGACGCGAGAAATTCCGCAGTCGGTCGCGCGAAACTTCACAGCACGAGCATCGGCAAAAAGCTAGAAAAAAGTGGCAGACAGCCGCAGGCTCGTCGAAAAATCTGGAAGCAGCACTCAGCACTTGCTCGGCTGGTAATCGGCGGGTTCGATCAAAGAAACCGCGCGTCGCTCGCCCGCTTGCACGCCCCCGCTCGCTGCAGAGATCGTAAAGCGCTCCAGATGTTTGCCTAATGATGTCAGAGAACGGCGACGACTACGACGACGACGACGAGTGTCTTATTACCCCTCCGCCCCCCCCGTACACGTGCGTGAGAGCGGGGTAATTGGAGGACCACCCAAACTGCACAAATCACTTCCTTCCTGATATTCGGTTACTCCGCGAGCTTTACACCCGAGAGGTGCGAGCTACTTTCGAGGGGAAAAAAATTAGTGTGGTTTTGTTATTTCTACGACCGACGCTCTATTTTTGAGCGAACATTCGATCGCCACTCCGCTGCTGTTTGTAGACTTTGGTTCCTACCTCCGGCGCTCGAAGTAGCTAATTGACTGGTAATTCTGGATAGTGGATTGTACGCCAACGGTTCTTTTTTCATTTTAAAGTTTACAAAGTCAGACAGTTCTCAGATCGGGTTGCAGGCGAGGAGGTTGCTGCCTTGCGCGCGCCGTGTTACAATAAACTCGACGAAATATGCCGATGGCCGCGCCTGTCTTTGGCTGGATACTTTGTTTCGGCTACGCAGCATCGTCTATAAACCTAACGTCCCGACAGTCGGCGGCAGCAGTGTTGCTCGACTAGAGAGACGACGCTTCGCGCCTCACCAAGTAAACAACGTCCCAACGACATTAGACTAATTGCCGATGCGACTATCCGGAACAACCACGCGGATTCGACTCGAGTGATAATGATTGACGCGATGTATAGGCAGACGAAAGTTGGCGTGAAGCACGATTAATCACGACGCTTCCGACGACGACAGCGCGTTTTTGTCTCGCTCCCCGCGTCGTCGTGTACGCCGTCGACCATTAACTCTCATCGAATCGAAATTCCCGGCAGACCGGCGAGCGAGAGAGAGAAAGAGAGAGAGAGAGAGAGAGAGAGAGCCAAGCGTGAACTTTTTTAACGAAGGCCTGGCTTTTCAACTGCGCGCGAGCCCGGCTTGCAGCTGATATTCTCGCGGGAGAGACCTTACGTCCGCTGACACGTTCTCTCGCGCAGCTTTTTGGCCGTAGTCCCAGAGCGATTTTCGCGTACTGACAGCGCCAAAATTTTCGCCGGCGGTAGCCTAACGGCGATAAATAACGTCGGCCGACGGGGCGCTCCGATTTTATTATGCCGACTCGGGGCCAGCGGAAAGGACGTTTCGTCGCGGCATTGCCCGCGCTTGCGTTTCTATAAACGGCATCATTAATATCGTGGCTAAACGGAAGTTGTGCGCTACGAGAGACGCGTTCGGGGCTCGGTTATTAATGAGATTGGGCAAGCGACGTACGCGCGCTCGGAGAGGAGATGGCGATGATCGGACGGTTTTTCGGGCCAACGAATGGCTTTTCAGCGGCGATTATGAGACCCTTCGGGTGACGAGCTTTTAAACTGTCTTTGCCGTGATTTATCTGACTATCGGTATAAGCTCAGAGCGAGCTGACGTTCGTGCGCGAGATAACAGAGGCGTGTACATTTATTTTTATCGTTAACGAGAGAACAGCCGATGAAAATTGGTGCTCCGTGACGCGGGGAATTCATGTTAAAGTAACGACACCGCACTCGAGGGAATAACAGCCCGAGCTGATGATTTGTTTCTCGTTAACGCTTGCACAAGGCGCAACTATACGTCTGCCACCAGTGGCTACAAGGGTGTCTACATTTTTCATAGCCGCCGACTGTACGTACACGATGTACCAAGTGACCTATCAAATTGATTGCACTGTATATCTCTTATATTTCCATGTTATGTTGAAATTAGAACTTGAGGCATCGTCAACGATTGATGCCGTTAGTATGCAAAGACTATTCTCAAGTGGGGACTACCTAAAAACGATGCAATAGACGTGTTGATCTGTACGTATTGTAATGTGATAACGTATTGTAATAGCGTTATTTTAAAAATAATTAACTTCATAAATTTTCACGCTTTCATCTTGTCAGAAGCGTATGAAACGTTAATTTTTGGGATTGCAATGACCGTTTAACGAACGAAACAAGAAGGAAAAGAGAGAAAAGAGAAAGACGCTTTTCCGAAAGAAAAATGGCGCACGTCAATTAAGAGCGTAGCCCGCGCCGAGGAGAAAAGGTCGAAACATACGTACTCGCGAGCGAAGAGCGAAAAGAGAATAAGCTTGAACGCCGTCTGAGTAGACACGTACACGTGTACGTACACGGCGGAGATGAATCTGCGAGCTTGAGCTTTGAGGGTAATTGAAAGGGCTGCCACGGTTTCAGTTGGTCTCTCTAATAATAGATTTAATAGAGACACGCTCATTGAGGAGTTGGCTCTGTTCTCTCTTAGTCGCTCTCATGCGTGAGCAATGAAACCAGCAAAAGCTACCCAACTCCTGAGCGATGAAATAATTGGCCGTACACGCGCAAGCCGTCACGACGTCTTCATTATGCTAATGAGAGATGTGCCGGCAAAGCTACCCAACCGTGTGCCCGCCTCGTTTCATTTGAATTTTCATTCCAGTAGTTTACCTCTAATAACATGCCCAACAAACTCCACTACGTATCCCAAATAAATGACGGACGATTCTTTTAATAATAATAATAATGTGCATGTGCCTCGCCAACAGCGATGTAGAGCAGACTCAACGATGAGAATGCACTCGGTTGCGGGAGCTTTAATTGAATAATTGTTGGTTCGGATCAAACAATTGTTTACAAGACAAGCCTTATCCCCCGATCGCGAGATGCCTCTGCGATTTGCATTGTTAATTAAATTGCGCAACAGCGCCGAGCCACTGAGCCAACGCAACGTCGCTGCATTTCGAGAGAGGATGCTTAATGCGAGTAATCTCAATCCATCGCAGCTCCGCGAAAGCTTCTGGCGAAAGACAATGATTGTCGAATAATTGGCGATGCGCGCGCGCGCGCTGCAGTAGACGCGCGCGGCGGCAGCAGAGGCGTCAAGAGTCTCGACCGTATTATATTCCGCGCCGTGTGTGGCTGCGCACTTTTTCTTTTTGTCCTTCTTTTACGCCTCACTCGCTGTCTCATTTGAGCGCGATTATTTATGTTTTACGCCGACGCCTGCAGCCACTAAAACCGAACTCCGCTTCTGTCGCTCGATTCTTCATGCGCTCGCTTCCTTCTTTTTCCTCTTTCTCTCTCGTTTCGTCGAGTGGGAACCATTTGAAGGGTCGCCGCGTACAGCAGCAACCAGAGAGAGTAAGATGTATGCCTACGCGCGCGCGAGCATGTGCCGGAAGGCCAAATAAACGGCCGCGATGCTGACGATGACGATTGGACGGCGCGAAAGAATTGTCGAGATACGTAACGCGTCGACTCGAGAAGCCGGTTCCCGCGCACAAAATAGCTGGCTCACGTTGACGCGCGGGTGACGAGTGTCGCCCGAGAAATCGGCGAGCTATCGATTGTAATCAACGCGGCAACAGCAGACTCGAGCCGACTGCAAAGAAAAGTCGAGGCAGCGTCGCTGGCCACGGTCCAACAGACGTCGTCCCGGCTGACGAGCGCAAAAGCGAAACAATGTCGCTGCCCGCAGAAATTACAAGTGTCGGGGATCCGCGGAACGAGCGCGAACGTTGCTTGCCGCTTTCTCGCTCGACCGCACACGCGTCGACGTGTAATTCGGGCGCGCGACGAAAGTTCACCCAATTTGGCGATTCTGCGAACGATCTCGTGGTGCAAAAAACGCGCGGCAGCGAGAGCGGAGACACTCGTTGAAAGTGGAGACGCGGAGCTACAGAGAGAGAGAGAGAGAGAGAAAGAGAGAGACGGTTAGGCTTATGAATTATGCGAGAGTCCCGCTGGAAAGAAAGAAAAAGAGAGTTGGCGCAGTTCTCGTCGTCCTCGTGACGGCGCGCATCTTTCGATCAACGATTTGCGAAATCTCTTTACGAGCCCCGTGATTTATATCATGCCCTCACGACGCATTGTATGCAAAATAGTCAAGGAGGACTCGCGCGGCGCTGAAACCGCGAACAAACGTGAGTATGACTGCGCCAAAGGATAATTATAGAAAAGAGCGAGGTTGATAATGACCGAAACAAGTCTCTTCGCACCTCGTCGTCTGCGTCGTCGTCGTCGTCGTCGTCGTCGTCGTCGTCGGCGGCGGCGGCGTCGTTGGGGTGGCGAAACACACGGGTGGTCGAAAAACGATCCGCCCAAGAGGATTATTCTCAGGCTCTAATCTTTCTCTCTCTCTCTCTCTCTTTCTCTTTCTCGCGTGCTACATAGCGAAGCTTCAAAGGTGCAAAGAAAGAAGTAACGGGTTCTTTTTCCTCTCGTGGCGATTGCGTGTGGACGAGGCTTTGATGTATGAGGGGCGCCTCTGGCTCACGGCTGATGAGCGATGTGTTGCGGAGAGATGCTGCTGCGCTTCTGCTTCGAGGTAATTATATAGCGAGATTTCCGAGTTGTGGGTTATCGCTCGCGCGTTTCTTTGCGATATTTTTAGGGCTATCCCCCGTTTTCGTGGTTTCAAATTTAAGGCATCGGGAATGGTCTTGCGACGTACGCTTAATAGCGTAGATCGGTTTTTTTTTTCAAAGATAGGTCGAACCTGACGTTTGAATCTGTCCGTACAGGCATAAGAAATGAGGCGAACGAGAGCGATTTCGCTTGGTCGCGGCATCCGCCGATGAAATTAAATTCATCGTCGACTGCAACCGAAATAAAGCAACGGGTATAAATCTCGAGACGAGGATACTTAAACAGTCGGAGGCAGTACTGCGCGAAACTTGCAAGTGCAGCAGCAGGGACAGCTTTATGGCGTCGCGCAGATCAAGGCGCTTGAGCGCGGTGCGCGCTGCACACGCGAAAATCGTCTATTGTCGGCGGAGATACGCATGGACGACTAGACTTCGTTCGATAGCTGCTACTGCTGCGTCGCGACGCCGCGTACGACCACACAAGTTGCCCTCTATAATGCTTGTCTGCACGCGTCTCCGTTTCCTTTTTATTATTTTTCTGTGTCTCGTTGCTCGTAAATCTGCGGCTTGATTTACGTGCGCGTGGATTAAAAAGTCGCGCTCGTACGGGGTTAACGACGCGCGCGAGCGGCTAATTTATGAAAGAATCGCTATATATGAATTTTCGGTGAGAGCATTCCTTAGTTTGGTTTACTGGAGCGATCGTGACGATTATCCTTTCAGATGAGCGCTTATACGGCTGACGCGAGCTGTTTAATGCGTGATTTAAACCAGAGCAGCCCGACAATGTTGCCAAGTGAATGATCGTGCAATTAAATTTCTCGATTTTAGCAAGCCAAAGTGATATCAGCTCGACGACGACGACGACGACGATGACTGTGCACATGGGAATGCGAGTGGGATTACGCAGCAAAGGTAAAATGAGAGAGTGCATCTGCTAAAATCGACGAACCCACATTAAATCGGTGAGGTGCCCGCGCATGTGAGAAAGAGAAGACGCGTGGTCAGGGGCGCATAGTCGTCTCGAGGCAGAACGAACGGTAGCCACGCGCGCGAAATTAAAGGAAAGCACGCGGCGGTGGCGGCGGCAGCGGCGAGCGAGCAAATAAAAGAGCGAACAGGACTTACGAGCTGGTTCTGATAGGCGGTGACAGCGGTGAAAATCGTCTCGGGGAAGACGAAGGTCTTGTGTGGTTCGCGCTCCAGATCCTCGATCGGCTCGCAGTTGCCACCGTCCGGTCGTTTCACCAAGTGAATTCGTGGTTGGTACTTGTGCATCGAGTTCAGCACCAGCTGGAAAATAGCAATTGCGCCTTGATACAATGACCGTGACAAGCGGCAATTTGCCTTCCGGGCGAAGTGATTCTCACGGCAATTCGTCGGAGCGGAATGGTCGAGCGTAGCGAAACGTCGATCGAAATGGGGCAAGCTAATCGTTCGCGACTACGACGTCGCGTCCAGACGCGGCGCAAGCGACGAAAATAGCGATGGAAGAATGACGAACGTCGGAAGAGGACTGTACAGCTTGAAATACAGCAGTGACGGTGTAAAACCGATTATCAATAAGCGCCCTTTCTCAACTGTCCGCCACTTAATTGTCTTCCACGAAAAGACCGGGCGTCAATATAAAACCGGCCGTCATTCATCGAAAGCGCTATTCTCGGTCGCGGTGGAAGCTCCGAGAAAAGCGAGTAATTAACGCGTATATATTCACGATGCATCTTTTCTCGTCGTCGCGAGAGAGCTCGATATTTTTACGGGCAGCCCGATGCTGTGCGCTGATGATTCATTAAGAGGGCCGCGAGAGGTGTCTGACGAGCGTCTGGCAGAGAAAGAGAGTGAGGATCGTGTAATCGAATATCGCGTGCAGGTACGCCGCTATCTGCACTGCAGCGATGCGCAAATTGCATTATGCGTCCCGTCCGCGCTGGAAAATTCAAAATCCCGAGGGGAAGGCTAGACTTGTCGGATCTCTCGCCCTCTGCGTCCTTGCGCTCGCTGCAGACGCGACATTCACTTTCTCCGCGTGCAGCTTTCTAATAATACGCAGCTTTTCGGAAGCGCTTCCTCGGATCGATGGCTCGATTCGGTACCTCAACTTCGTCAGAGCTCTAAGGACGAGCCTAGTCATAAGAGACCCACTTACGTGCCCGTTCTTGTCCATGTCGTTATTCGTGAGCTTGACCTTCTCGAAGGAGACGACCTGCTTGCGCAGCTGCTCGCCCGTGAACGGCGAGTCTGGGTGTACGTAAAGACGTGCCGGCGCCGGCGGATCGGCCTTGCCGGCGACCAGCCAGCAGCTTTTGTGATAGGCGTAACGATAGCGCTTCTCGTCCACTGGCACGATGTCCATCAGCACTGCGTAACGACCGTCTGGCCTCAGACCCTGGAACGACACTCGACACGTCGGGAACATGCGCCTGTCAACATTCCATAGACACATTTTTTTAAATAACCATTTCGTATTATTCTTTCAACAAGGAGTTCAACAAGGAAACCATCTTATTTCGGGATCAAATTTTCAAGTTTTGCACGAATATAAATCTCGAAGGACTATCAATTTATCCTGAACACAAGTGATTCGTATATTCGTTTCATTTTTTTATTCGCACCAATTTTGCCTTACGGAGGTACACCAAAGTACCTATACGTAAGTACGAACAAAAACAAAAATATATATAAAATAATAAAGACCATAATATTATAAATGCGTAAACAAATATTTAGAAAATTACAGAGATGCGAAATATGTCCATACGCATTACGTTGTTATTTAGTGAAGCAAATCAATCTTCTATAGCACATTAATTTCCAATAAAATATTTGCATTATCCTGAATATATATTTTTATTATATTTCTCTTATTTTTAATATTGTTCACGTCACGACTAATATTTTCATCAAACTATTGTTATACTTTTAGATGTGTTATATTCTGTAAATAGATTGTTATAGTTCCCTATCAACGCTCGAACTTAATAGAAAGTGCTAGCGATAAATTCATTGATTTTTTTACGTAAGGTTTTTATTAATCCGTTCTGAATTTTTCAGATGTCTCTCAAAGTGTTATCGTGTGCTCTATCCCAAGCATCAATGCCATATGTGTGGCTATGCACTTGAATTATATGCCCTGTCATCAATTCCTTTACGTCCACGAACTTTGCTAGTTTCGACATAACAAACATTATACCTTGCTTTTTTTATTATGTATTCGATATGGTATTCCCGTTTAAGTCTAGAGTGCACCACTATCCGTAAATACTTATAATATTTTCAATGTCTCATTCATAATATGTACCATATATTCAGTTCTACAGGTATACTCTTTCATGATCGGAGCCAGAAGTCAGTAATCTCATGGAAAACAAGAAACTTGTTATAAATGCAATCATAATTGTGAAATCTTCACCTATACATAAACTTTATTTTGCATCAAAATTGATTGATAAATGCTCGTGTAACATTAATGATTCACAATGATACCTGAGAAGTTAAATTTTCACGTTGAAAATATATAAACATCTTACATGCTTATCAACTTATCATTAAGCACTTTAAAGAAGAAAAAACTCTAAACTCGCGAGGCTACATTTTCATAATCAATTCAGTGACGCAATTTTCGTGTAGTCGCAGCTCATATATAAAAGTAACGGCCAAGTTCTCGAGGCTTGAAGCACGGTTCTGAAAAAGTTCATATACTTGAAATGTTCTTGATCCTACTAATATTCATAATACTTTTGCCTGGAAACGCAGAGAGCGTGCGAGTGCAGCCTATGGAAAATGGCTATTTCTTGGGGTTCAATCGCTTGCCTATTGTGTGTAGCGATTAATCAGGACCTCGTCGTAATGACACTTAATTAGCGCGAGAGACGCGCGCGGCGGATGATTTATTGATCTGCTTGGCTGCGCTGCTTCCGTCGCACTCGCCGCGTTTCGCCTAATTTTTTTATTAAATCACTCGCGGGGCTCGCTCGCTTGCGCGCGCTCGCTTTTATCTGCGACGAGCATCGCATGAATATGTAAGTCGCTCGCGCGGCCAGTACGCCCGCCCGATATTCAATTGCGCTTTTTTTACGGGCTCCGCGCGAGTCTTGCTTTCTTATGTCGTCCGTGATAAAAGCGCGTTCTCTTGTTCCTTGCCAATGATTCTTGAAATTGTTGATGATTTTTCAACTTTGTAATATTTATTGTCTCGGCTGATCCTGTCTCGTAACATTCTGCTCTCTTGGTTGAGCAAATTTGATATCGTCAGCCCGAATTTTTTATTCAATTGGAATATAACTTACGCTCCACGGTACATTGGATTAGCTAGCGCACCGAACAATTAGATTTCTTATCTAACCGAGTGCAGAAAATCGATACTCGAACACGATAAGCCGCGAGCCATCTATCATTGAGAAAAGTCAGTTGCTCGCGATTTCGGGGTGTCGCGCAAGTATATAAATACGTGTATTCCGGGCGCGAGTACGCTATTGAATCATTGTGCTGAGTCAAATGACGGTCTATCAGTGTTGCAAATCGAAGTCACGCATTTCCCGGCGCAGCTCGCAGCAGCTAGTCAGTAGTCGACGACCTCCCGAGTGAACTTAGAGAGGCGCGCACACCTACACACACACGCACTGCGAGGGAGAGAGAGAGAGAGCATTAATACCGTGTCGGACGTCCCGCTGAGCTTGGCCGCGACGATCTTATCGTTCTATGCTCGAGCCTGCGCCCGAGATGCGCGCCGACTGAGTAATGCTTTTATTTATCAGCCGGGGCTCGCGCGCTTTGTTGTCCAGGAGCAGAGGGGCCCGAGCGACTCGACGACGCGCGTAAAACGCGATCCCGTATATACCTCGCTCCCTCACCAAGCGTCAATTTCTCGCACCAAGTGCACACCTTTTTATTTCAGTTCGCTGTTCGGCTTATCGCCTTGCTCAATTTCGCAAGTCAAGTAGCAACATTGTCTTTTAATCTAAGCGCATGAACAGCCTTTCTGCAAATGTCTTATGAGCACGCGTTAATACGAGTATTAATAATTGCAGTGACGCCAAAATAATAAAATCATCACTGTTGGCTGTGCAATGCGGATTACGAGCGACATCTCATGAACGAACGAAAGATTTTTGAACGGCACTATGCGTCATTAAAATCTACAGTAGAGTGAGAATTGGATTACGAATCGTCAGTCGAGGCGTAGTCGTGTGCGAAATTAGTCAGGCACTATTCAACTCGGTCAAATTTGTCCAAACTGTGACAAAAATCCGTCTCTCGCCACGAGAAATCTGCAAAACAAGGCTCCGAAGCGAGCAATCAAATGAATGACTATATATGCGCACGTGATACGGCCATCAAATCAAACTCGATACTTTTATCCGGCGCGTGCAGTTCATTATCACTTTGTTCGGGGGATGGGCGGCTGGTGCGCGCTCGGCTAAGTTGACACCCGAAGGGCGCGTAGCAAGCGAGACTGCCAGGCTGGATCTAATTACCACGAGAGCATCCCTCGGGAGGAAAATGGCCTTCTGCACGGCTTGAGGGTTTCGCGCGCTGCGAGCGAGAAAGTTGGATCAAGGTGACGGGCAATTAGGTGCTCGTCCTCTTTTACAGAGTTCCCGGCGCAAGCTTCTTTTATGCCACCAGTGTATACGTACTTCTTGCCAGCAGATTTGATTGAGTGCTTTTTCACAAAGTGTAAGAACAAGTAATTTCGAGGTAACTAAAGTGTTTTTAGGAAATTTAGTGAACATTTCAGTGCTCATTTCAGCCTAACAATTGAAAACTAATTAATGACGCAGCAAACTTGAATACTGTCGATTTTCAACTGATACCAGTTTACGTACAAACCAATATGTATAAATAACAGCTGAGGCGGCTTTTATTATTATTTGCATCAGTGCATTCTGTAATGTAAAACCACCAATAAATCAAAGCTTTTGCCGAAAGCAGAGTGAAAAATTTGGATTCAACATTGGCACTCATTGACGTGAGAAATGACTTTACACAAACCAAAGATATCTCGTTCTTCAAACTCAATATAATCCCGCAAGTCAAATTTAAATTAAAAGGAAAGCTCAAAGTATTACTAATCACCGTTTAAATATCCATCTGAATAATTCCCCCTCACCAGATTTGTACTATACGAAGGAGCGCAGAAAAAGCAAGTCTCGCGGCTATTCATCATAATGGGTTGGCGCTATTTTGACAACGCTAAGCCCACGCCAGCGATAAATTTTTCCGGCCGGTTTTGGATAGAGTCGTTAGTCGTCTCTCGCCTACACCCCCCTTTTTCTTGTCTCGTGGGTGTTGTATCGTTGCTCGTTTACTGATTGAATTCACGCGCGAGCGGGGGTTCGAAAGGCGTTGCTTTAATGAGAATACGAGGGTCGCTTGCGATTGCTTTTGTTTGCCACGAACACGCTGCTATCGGTAATTGAGTTTCGTTGCGCTGGATTGCGAATATTATAATGGCGGTCGCGCGTTACTTCATTTTTTTAATTATCGATTGGCATTTATAACGGGAATTTCATTAATCAAACGAGTTGATGGAAAACGAAAATATAGAATGGTTTACTAAGATGGGAAGTAGGAAGATGGAGTGAGTGGTGTCGCTTTTGGTCTACTGGGAGTTTCAACCCTTCCTCTTCTGGTAAACCCCCTTTAACGCTTGAGTCTTTTATTCGGTGGATCAATAAACTGATCGACCGTCAATAGCAACGTGATGCAATCATGAACGATGCGTTTTAATTTAAATCGAATAGTTTTTACAAACAATAACTGCACATGAATACATTACTTTAAGATCAGCAATTAGAACATAATATGCTAGTTCACAAGTGATTTCTATAATCAGCAAGCAGTACGAGAAAAAATAAAACCGGATCGAGGGAAAACTTTTTCACGAATCTGTACGTAGATCAATAACAAAATGTTTGTCTTGTAACTCACCGGCCAGTCTTCGTGATAATCATCTCGGTACTGAGATCATGAAACTTATTCCAGAGCTCTTTGGTCTCGAGGTGGCAGATCACATGTCTCAACTCCTCGCAGTTGGATCTCTCCATCAGCAGAGGATTGATGGGTGACGGTGCTTTCCCACTGACACTACCCGTGTCGTCGGTTTCGGGCTCGTCCTCCGTATCGAACGACGACTCTTGTTGAACCTTTTCCAACTGCTCGCGCTGTTCTCGCTGCGACTGTGACGATCCTCTGCCCATTCCGGAAACGCTCGGTTCTTTTTCTGAAAAAAAAAAGAATAATCAATGATTCAAAAGGCGTTAACGAGCCGCGTTCGTTTCTCTTTTCCTTTTCGGAGACCGCGGACTACTTTTCTCTGTTGAGAGAGAGAGAGAGAGAGAGAGAGAGAGAGAGAGAGAGAGAGAGAGAGTGAGAGAGAAAGAGAGGGGGGGGACGAGAATAGATTTCTGGAGAGAAAATTTATTATCGCGCCACTTCGACGTTTCAATCGGTCGTCGTTCATTCATCTTTCTTTCGCCTTCGACGCCGACGAAGAGTTGGCACGCAACAGCAGCAGCTCCGAGAGTCTGTGCGAGAAACTAATTCAATTTCGGGGCCCGTCGTCGCTGCGGACATTAATTCGTCACGCCTTTTACGCGTGGGTCGCGAAAAGAAACGACTCCTTGCTGCCGCTGTTGCCGCTGCTGCTGCAGACCGAGAGCGAGCTTAATTTGAATTTATGGTCGACTGTTGGTATTTGCACTCTGCGCGCGCGCCCGCACTATGCCAATTAATAAGCGTCGCATTATATAGCATTTTCGCAGTCGCTGCCGTGAGGAGCGCCTCGTGTCGCGCCTCATTTGCGAGCCGATTAATTACACGAGTGCGCATCCGCGAGGTGCCGAGATTGAGATATTAGCGACTGTTATTTTTAGCAACAGCTTTGTTGTTATTAATAAAGTATGCAACATAATTAGATTTGTACTACGATTAGGGTGGTATCGCGTTGCAAATTATTTGCATAATGGGCTGAAGTAATAACATTCGCGATTAAAATAGTACAAATAATCACTGATGTATGGCTAATCCCACGCAAAAAGATACATTGATAAAGTGCGAGTTTCATCAATTGTTTCAAATCGGGTGCATGCTCCTAATTTTTTGATTTTATCAATCTATGGTAATAATAGGACTTACAATTACCTTTGCCTCTCGTCGCGCATTTTTATGGCCCTCTTTTTTTGCCCATAGGAATCCTAAAATCGATCGAAAACAATTACACGACTTTTCATGATTTGATGACATTGCATAAAAAAACTTAAAAATTCTAATTCTACGGATTAAAATAGACCAAAAACCACGTCTCCATAAACCATATAAAAAACTGTACCTGATTGAAATTGAAAAATTGACACGTGTACACGAAATTAGTGTTTTGAAAATTCAGCAAAGCTTGCAGTTTTGAGTAAAAGTGAAAACAACATTTTTTAGAGAATTTGAATTTCAACTTATATCAACGATCTCATTTTTCTTTTTTATATTAAATTCGAAAAAACTATACGAATACTTTCATTGTCATTGTGATATCAGTAATTCTATGGACAAACAAATGGTGTTATAAGCATGCGCACTGTAAAGACTTACTACTTTAAGATGGGCGATACGATATAAATTAACGAATACAAAAATTTAAGAGCCTTTAAAATTTGCTGAGCTGTACTCGTTCAATTGAAAAAAAAATGAAGCCGAATAATTGAATTTCTTTTCTGTGACGTGCTACTACTTGCGTCTACGCTAATGTTTGTTTTATTCCAAATTCAGTTGTTATCTTCTATATTTATATGTGATATTGTGCTTGTTGTAATACAATACCACACTTAAGCATTGAAAGCAAACGAACTTAAGGACTTATTTGTTCAAATTATACGTCATGCTGTGTTAACCAATAATAGAATGTAAATTTTTGATCACTACAGCGTAAATAGTCAGAACTACTCAAAATATATGATAAACAAGACTAATTATTATCGAATCAGATTATATGAGACATCTACTGACGATTCAGGAAAGCTATCACGTATAATTCAAGTGTAGTGTATGACAAAAGAATCGCCTTACAATCAACTAGTTCAATGTACGCTTGAATCGTTCCAAGCTGTGTCCTCTTGAAAAAGTACGTAACCGAATGACACGCGCACGCCCTACCAACGGCCATTTCGGCGAAATGGGGAATTCGATGACAAGGAGCAGCGTCACTCGTTCGATTGTATCTCGAGGTGCAGCTGCATTAGTGCGCGCGCATCTCACGTCATCGAGCATCAAGGCGGCGGCAAGCTCGCGCGTCAAAATGCCGAGGAAGGAGCGAGAGGAGAGGAAGCCGAGGCAAGACAGGCTCGCTCGCGAAGATAATCGCATGGCAGCTCCGCGGAACTATCGTGAGGCGATTAGCGCGCCGTGGCCGCTCTCGACAACATGGGAGGTAGGCGCATCAAAAGAAAGTCGCCGAAGGAGCGAGGAGGACGCGTCGGAGAACGACCTGCTGTACAAGTCGATGGGCGGGCACGCATAGAGAGTCGATCGACATTCCGGCGGACAGTCGGTGTATAGCGCCAGACGGACAATTAATTCGGCGGCGCGCGTGTGTCCCGAAATTGATAGCCGGCACCTGACACGCGCAAGCTTCCTAACTGCCCATTACCAAGTTTATTATGGTTTCCTCCGACACGTACCGCAGCCACTAACGCCGCCATCGCTCGGCGACGGATATATATGCGCGCGCGCGCGTTCGCACGTGTATCGAGCGCTGCTCGCAAGCGCGCTCGTGCGCGAACAACGCGAGGACCGAGCGAGCTGCGCTTTCGCCGCCTGGCCGCGGTCGGGAACACATCCATGCCGGAGAATGCGACAGCGCGACTTTCGCCACGGCTCGTACACCCGCGAGAGCCCGGAAAAAAGCAGTAGCTCTCTGTGCAACGTGCCGGCAATCCGGTCAATATTTTGCCCCGCAGCGACGGCGGCAGCGGTTAATCAATCATTCGTAGCTCAACGATCGCTTGGAAATCACGGCCACCGCGCTTGCGGCCGCGCGGCGCATCGGCCCACGCGTGTTCCGCCTCTCATTGTCCCGCGCCGCGGCTAGCGCCCCTTTATCGCGTATAAATCCCAGTTTGTTTTCCTTTCACAGAGCGATACATCACTCTCGCGCGCGCGCGAGCCAACACCGCCGCCATTTTCACCCGCGCGAGCTCAGGCTGACGTAAGCGCAAGTGAGAGTGAGAGAGATCCATCGGGTGACGGATTTACTGCTGGGTGTCTGCCGTCCGTACGGAACGCGCATACGCGGCGCCTCTCGCTTAACGCTCCGGTCGCCTTCTACCTGCCTATTGGATATTGGCCTATACTATTGGACATTGCGCCTTTTGATACTTTCAAGATTTCTTGGGGCACGTTCAGCGATTTTTTTTATTGGAGTAGAGCTCTTTCCTTATTCTATCTTTATACAATTTATTATAATTTTTACAGCTTGTATTATTGCATTCCTTCAAATTATCGTAAGTAGATGTCAATCTGAACTTGAAATGATAAAACCATTCTATAATTTACGAATTGGCGCCAGCTCGCAACTTATAATTAGCATGATCATGTAGAAATTTTATGCTAGAGTTTAGATGAATTCTAAGAATGATACGAAGCGATCGTTGGATCGTGTCTTTGGCAAATTTAATTTGATACACGTTTTCAGTCGGCGTGCAGGCGAATCGAACACTCGCGAAAGCAGACAGTGAACCGATTGCAAAGCCATCGTGTAACTGTCCAGCTCACGAAGAATGTGCACCCAGCAAACAGTCCGTATGCTCACTGTAGCTATCGTCTTTTTGACTCATCCATCCACATATCCACGTAACGAAATAGCAGACGTACGCGATATCGCTCATCCGTAAAATCAGTTTTCTGCCTTGTAGACAAATAACGAGAAAGCAACGAAGCGCGCTCTCATTCGACTAGTCATTTAATTCGAAATAATCGCACGGAGAGAGAGAGAGAGAGAGAGAGCGGCGTGCGTCGCGCAGCTCTTGCATGCGCACACGAAAGTCCTATTATCCACACGCGTGTGTACTGCAGCCGAGGCTGCGGAGCAGTTGACGCCGGACAATGAATAATAAAAGGCGGCGCGCAGGCAGCACGTAACGATTGACAAGGTTGCTCGAGTGCCGCAATGCAAATGGAAAATTCATTTTTCAGTGACCGCGCCGTCGGCGCGCACGCGATATTTCATTAAAGCCCGGCGTGGAAAAACTGCATTTCTATACGTTCAGCCGCGCTCTCTCGAGCACGCGTATTTACCAAACAGAGTTCGAGGAAAAGTCACGAGTTTGATTGGCGTGCGCTGGCTGCGGCATCGAGTGCTTCTCGAGAACCTGCATCTAATTGGTCTCTATACACCAGCCGTCAACTATGTAATGCGCGCTCCTCTCGTTTCGTACGCGTATCGCCCGACGAAAGATAAATGCGAGTGATTCAATGTAGCGGGGCTGTATGGCACGTGGGACATTTATGTTTTCCGCGACCGGTGCGTAAATATTATTTTCACGCGCCCCAACAGTGCCCGTATACGCAACTTTGGCAGTTGCGCAGATCAAAGGTGATAACTTGGCTACACTGAGAGAGTTGATATTGTACTCCATAACGAATATTGCGATACTGACTGAGAAATATTGCAATCGAGGTTAATCAAATGTAACGCAATTATAACTACAAACCGAATATAGGAGATAAGCTCGGTAAGTTTTACCATGTACCATTTTTACCGCTTAAAATTTGCAAGTTAACCTATTACACGTAGTTCCCTTGTTAACCGCCTAACCGCACGCATTTTTACTTGCATGATTCAGACTGACAGTTTCTTAGACAGCAATGAAATATTTATTCGGCCGCTTGCGAGAATTGAATCGCCTGCTGCGCACGCACTATAGGAACTTCATTCCGATCCCAGTCATTTTTGCTATGTTCATTGTAAAAATTATTCGAATCATATTAATTTTTACGAGCTATTCTAACAGTATATTATGACCTATTTTTATAATTATTATAACATAATTATCTTTTATTATGGTACATAATAATTTGTAGTATTTGTTATAATGAATCTCGTGATATGAAGGTTATTACGGCCATTGTAGAGATTAACCAAATCTAATGCATTTTATAATAGTTCGAGTATATCCCGCGATTGCTCTGTTCTATAAATGTTATTGCAAACGTTATGATAGCAATTGCCTCAGTGTACACACGTCATCATTGTTAACAGAGAGAAATACGTTACGCGGATTCCGTTAATTGTTGCATTGTATGTATTGAGTTTCAGCCAGACTTTTCGTTGTCGCTCGTTGTACAATACTGCCGATCGGCCGGTATTCTAGTAACCTTTCATTGTCGAAAAGGCAGCTAAATGTTTTACGTCAACGGATAGCGGGGCAGACACTCGACAAGCTCTTTTCCTACGCTCCTTTCTCTTTCCAGTGATTTAATTAAAGAAAGAAGCGTCATCGCGGCGAGTTGCCATTTCCGCACCCGAATACGCATACTTCACACGCGTGGAATGTCAATATTTAACGTCTCGTCTTCCTTCTCTTCTCTATCCGCGCACGATGATGATTAGCTTGTGGCTGGTGTATGCTATTAAACAAGCTCGCGAACACCTCGTCGTCAGCCTATCCGAATCTCATTAATTCATTCATGGAAGAAGAAAAAAACCGGAAAGTGGACGTTCATTCGCATACGCATTCATTCAGGTTTTTATTTCGTGCCATTTGGCATCTCCTACGTGTAAGCTTGTCCGTTGGCTTTCAGCTCGAGTAACTTTTTTCGCGTTGTCGCGGGCAAGCGACTTCATTCAAGTAAGAAAAATCATTTTTCGAATTGCAATGTACTTTCGCGAACGCACGCCCGTCAATCAATCTCGTGCTTTACCAACATTTCTTTGGGCAAACTTCCGAAAAAGAAAAAATAAATAAATAAAAGAGCCAGTTGGTAGCCGAGCGCGCGAGAGAAAGAAAAAAAGAAAAAGAATTAGCATTAATACGAAAGGCCTCATCCACATGCGTACAGGTATAGAGAGAGTCAACGCACGTTTAAGTGGGACGGCTTGCGGGCTGAGCTGCCTACGCAGCGGCAAAAGCACGCGACGCCCACGCACATACACTACCTGGCCGGGAGCCGTTCGCTTCTCTCTCTCACTCTTGCTTCTCTGTCGTGCAAGGGTTATCTTGGATCTCTCTCGCGGGATGCGGCAAAGCGCTTGTTTACTAAACGCTGCGCCTCGGTTTACACGACGTTTGGCTTGCGCACGCTTGGTACCACAGCTTCGTCTGGCTTTAATGGGATTATTAGCTATGCGTATCGGGTTTTTCTTTATGTCACTGATGCAACGCTTCTTTTTAATTATCAGCCGAGTAAACACGTTTTTCGGCTCTGTCTTCATATCGAGTAAATGAAAATAAACTTATTTTGTATAAACATTCAAATATTAGGTCAAATAGCCACAAATGAAAAAGAACGGAAAGTCTTAATTTGATATATGTTCATGTTTCGATTGTTGATTAAATGATCATTATACATATATGGTAAGCTTCAATAATTTCATCAGGTAGTAAGAGCTGACGTCTGCTGATACCGAACAGAAGTAAATGTCAAGCGAATTAAGAATTATAACAATTGATATCCTGTACGTTGATTATACTCTGTACACTTTAGTCGGTAACGGGAAAAATCTATGATGCTAATCTAATGGTTGTTCCAGATCGTAAAAATTATTTTTCAAATTTAAATTTTATCCGCTCGCTCGTATAGCAAAAGCAAAATAAAGTAACTCTACAATCACCCGGTATACTTCTATATACAGCAGCCTTCCGTATACGCGAAAAAGCAAGGAAGCCCCAACACAAAGCATCGCAACTTAGACGGTAGGCAGCATAAACAAGCCGGCCATTAATTTATCGAGCACATATAGCGCGAGTAGCTTCATTTTTGGACTCCTCGTGGCCGCACCCTTTACCTTTCTCTCTCGTTCTCTCGACAATGCGTCTCTCTTTTGTTGTAGTGTAGACTTTCTAGTTTAGGGCCATGCGTGCACACATTTACATGCGAACAAAGATAAAATTTATCATGAAGCAAGAATAAAAGAAATCAACGAATTCATTCGCTCCATAACTCGTCGTACCCAAGAGCAATTAAAATTTCACGAGTTATATATATATTTGGGTATAATTGATTCATTCGTGACGTACCAACGAACCAGTTGCACGCATATTCCACTTGTCTCTATCTCTCTCTCTCTCTCTCTCTCTCTCTCTCTTTCTTTCTTTCTAAGTCATCGGCTATTTATTGTGTGACTACAACATTTTATTCACTTATTGAAAATTGATAGCGATGTGACTTTGTACGATCACAATATAAATTGTCGTCAGCGCGTTTTCGCTATAATATATTGAATTAGCAATGAGGAAACGGTGATCTGATTACGTCAGTGTTACACGGCAAATCGAAGAGAGATAATTATAACGAGGTAAGGAAGTTGACACTATACAACAAATCTGCTTGCGTGCGAATTATTAATAAATAGGGTATTCGAGTACTAATCACGTTAAATATTTCACAGAGCTGTTGCTTGAGCCGCAAACGATTTTCGATGACAATGCGACACTTTTGATCCGCGTCGTAACCCACTTTACGGCGATATAATGTCACGATAATTGTCAACGATACTCTAGCACGTTAAACATTCATTGTCCTAGTGGCTGCGCACAAAGTCTAAGAAAAGAATAGTCCATCAGCGCAATGATTTCCAAAGGCCGGACACGAGCGAACGATAAATCGTCACAATATCACATGTCAGTCGTGAAAGGATTCGCCGATTGCCCATCGGCGCTTCGCGAATGCACGCGGCTTTGATTCACGATGGTGTCGCGCGCGACACAGTCGATAAACGTCCAATTAGCGTAGAACGCGCGGCGCGACAGCGCGCGCACGCTTGCGCGTGAATTAAGTAACGGCGGCGGCGAGCCCTTTGTGCTGGCATCGCGACGATCATTCGCGCGGGATAATGGCGCTTGCGCTTTTACGTAACGAGCGCTTATCGAATGCAGCCTCGCATCAGCGACGAACGCACGATCGATAGGAGCCGCGGCAATTTCCTTTCCGCAATGTTGATCGAAACAACGGACACCGAAGGATTCATTCGAGCGATCGCCGCGGGGCAGATGCTCCCGCGGTAAAAGTTTCGTCATTAGAGCCCGAAGCGACGAATAAGTGATACTCGCGCGGGGCTTGACGAATGGCGTCCGCTTGCAGCGCGCCAACTCGGTCATTTGCAAAAGTCCATTTGCGCCAAGGAGCTAATTATCAAGCGCTACCGAAAGCGATGCCGAGCTTTCGTTGCGTTCGCGCGAAAGTCGACTCGAGGACCTGCCAGACGATTATCGTCGCGACACAAGCACTACAATGGGTGGGCAGCCGCGAGCGACCGCGAAGGTCGCGCGCGCGCCTCTCGGCTCTGGCCGGAGCTGGATTTTCGAGCGGGACTCACCGAGGGAGGAGTGTTTGTTGGCGCCGCCGGCAGCACTGGCTGGCGGCTCCCTGCCGTGCCTGCGATAAGGATGCTGCTGCTCCCTGCGCTGCTCCCTGGCCTGCTGCTGCCTCGAGTCGCGCGCCATGATAGCCGCGATGCTGAAGTCGGTGGCGCACTGCCGGTTGGAGTTGGAGCAGTTGTTGTTGTTGTTGTTGTTGTTGTTGTTGTTGTTGTTGTTGTTGTTGTGCAGCAGGCCGGGCGAGGGCGTGGAGCTGTCGGTGGTGTGCTGGTCGGCGGCGGGCGAGCTGGGCGCGGCGTGCATGGCTCGGCTGTTGCAGAGCGATGAGGATGAGGCCGAGGAGGAGGCGTCGTCCTCGTCGGTGTCGGCGCCGCTGGCAGCGCTGCCGCGGTGACAGGCAGGCGAGCCGGTGGCGGGCCGCAGTGACAGGGTGAGGCCGTTGCTTAGCAGCTGCTTCCTACCGGCGAGGGCGCGCGACTCCAGCAACATAGCGCGGCAACACGACTCGCCAGTAGCACCGCCACCAGCAGCACTGGGTTCGGCGGGGCCGCTCGTGCCCCGGGATCGATCGGCGACAGCCGCCTGGCCGCTGGTGCCTCTTCCGGCGACTTTGCTCGCAGTCGGATCACAGCTCGGCGCTCGGGCTGGCGCCTCGCGCGAGCATGCTTCTCGCGACCGGGAGGGGAACGCACAGACTGACCGGCCAACGGACTCGGGCTGGTCTCCGGCGCGGCGCGCTTGCCGTCCCCACCGCGGCGCGCTCGGCTGCAGGCGAGCGACGACACCGCCGGGGGCGGGGCCAGTCGCGGACGCGCCCCGTCACGCCTTCGCGCGCCAGCTGCGCGCCGCGGCAGCTGCCATTTTTTCTCTCTCTCTCCCTCGCTCTCTCGCGCTGTCTGCGCGCCGCCAGCGAGGGGGGCTGCAATTGCTGACAGCGCCACTCGCTGTTTATCGTATCTTTGGCCCACGCTCGCGCTCGCTCTCGCCGGCCAGCGGTGGGGGCCACGACTTGTCGGCTTGCTCTTTTTCGGTTTTACTTATGCGTGCCGCGCTGCTGCTTCTCTCTCTCTCTCTCTCTCTCTCTCTCTCTCTCTCTCTCTCTCTCTCTCTCTCTCTCTCCTAGATGCTGCCGCTGTAGCAGAGTAATTACCAAGGCGTTGTGTACGTTAACGATCACCAAGCTGCTGCCGCCGCTCACTTTTTCCTTCGTTTTTTTGGCTTTCCGGCGTGAGAGCAGGATGTCGCTTTTCGACGAGAGTGTGATGAGGTCCACATCCAGATATATTTATTCTGACAATTTTCAAAAATCGGATGACGGTTGGAGCGTTAATTTTTCTCTTACAAATGTCAGTTGTGCTCGCAGAGTGGGATAGATGAAAATTTTGTTCTGACTTGTTTTCTCAGTTGATTGACGAACAAGATCAGTCTGCGATAAGAGTTGTGCTCGTAATGGGCTGTAAAGATTGCCAGTAGTATACAATTGCACCTGTAATATCCAAAACACATACCTTTCTGGCAAAGATCCTACTAAATATTAACCGTTCGGTGAGCACAGTGCCAGTTGATACGCAATAGTAACAAGGACACAACCTTTTCATACATTACTCATATATTTTCTTTTCTGTAACAAACACTATTTGATCGCATCGTTGAATAGCAAAAAGTCCGTCAAGTTGACGTCGAAACGAGAGTATCGTTAATAAACAAGAAGTATAACATCAATCACCTTAAGGACGTGCTCAAGTTCCATTAGAACACTGCAGTCTCTGATTAAAACAGTCTTCCTAAATGTGCATGCGTATATATAATACATAGGTAGTTACTTTCCGGTTATTTATCGCAAAGGACTTGAGCATTGGTGTCTCGTTCAATTGATTATCTCTCCTTGATAAAACGTCAGCATGCTGAGCCATTCAAAAATACTAGCTTTTAGACACAAACATCAAATTATTATAATTGAAAGAAATATGATAGGACGTGTTCAATAAAATAATGTCCGTTAGAATGAAAAATCTGTCATGCTTATCATGAAAAGGAAATTGGAAATCTTTATTGGGAGAGCGAGGCATTCACCTCTAATGGATGAAAATTTGCTGCTGCGGAGAATGATCAGCAGATAATTGCAGCAGTCGCTCTCAATTTTTTCTCTTTCCCTTTGAGGATTTCTGTCAATTTTTACACCGACAATTCAATTAACGTTCGACTCTTAGCAGACTGCGTTTAATGAAAAGTTCTTGGCTTTGATTGAAAGCTTCATATTGACAGGTCTATTTTTCAAGCTTTGCGCGAGACGTTGCGCGATTATGTATGATTTTCACGCAAAGCTCATATACTTCGCAATATCCACGTCGCGAAGGCAATGAAATTTCGATGAGCTCGTCAGCGATAATGGGGCGCAAATAACATTACTTATTAACCATTGTCGCGCATCGAAAATTTCTCAAGTCAATCATTCGCTCGCACATTGCACGGCAAATACCAATTGATTATTGTCAGTTGTTTTATTCATAGGTCCTTTCCGAAATTCGATCGCAGCGGCAATCTGCACGCGTACCGAGGCGCCCCGATACACTTGGATGCCACATCATCGTCAAACCATCATTGCCGATGCTCCTCTTTGTTGCCTATTCGTGCGTCAGATAAAAGCTCGCGCGCGCGGATCGCTTAGCCATTTTACGTGTACATACGTTTATAAACTGTGTTTTCGCTTTGAAGTGGTTTTCGGGGCCGCCGAACATTAACGCGCAGAGCTCGAGCTCCTAATGGGCCGGCGTGCAAGAAAAATATCAAGCGGAAGTGGTCGGCTTCCCTTTGACATGCAGCAGTGTAACACAAGAGCAAGAGAGCGAGCTTTACGCTTCGCCTGGCTTTTGCGTACCGAGCGAGATAAGGCGCCGATGAGAATGTGTATACGTTGCATATACTCGTCGTTACAGTACGCCTGCGAACGGCTTATGCAAATTCTCGTGTATTGCTATTGCAATTCTTGAGAAAACGACGTGCGCAGATTGATCGATCTACATAGTCCAAAAAGAGCCATCGCAACCTTAAAATGCATATCAGTCAAGACTAAACCCGCAAAATACGAACATCGTGAAAGCTTCAAGTTTGGCAAGGTATCTTTGTAGAATCGTGCAGAAATGCTGCGCATACATTTACATCGCATAGCCAGGGCTTCAGCTATCGCGAGAAGAGTTGCTGTCAAAAAGTTTCTTTCGTGCGCTATTCAATCTGCGCGTATCGCAGTCGGACATCGGGCGACATTAAAAAAATATATGTAAGATTATAATATTTCTCGCCCCTCCCGCCCTCCTGTTCTCACACTAGTAAGAAAAAATGTCGACCACCGCGAGCGTAACAAACGAATCGTCGAATCACTGTCTGGCGAGAAAAGAAAAGGAGAATCGGCCGTCTCGAAACTGTCACAATCGCGATAACGAAACGGATGCTCGTACGCACCTTCAAATTCCTCTCTCGCCTCTGTGCTACACATACAGAGCCCACGGGGAATACACGTCCAAGAGAGCAGGCGAGCGACAGTCCTATCGGACTTGGCCGATCGCCTTCTCCCTTCTCGTCGATCATACATGCCTCGGAGAGATTCCTCCTCCCCACGAGGGAATGCGTTAATCTGCTTATACACACTCGCGCGCAAATGTCTGCTCTGCATTCCCGGAGACGAATAATACGAGTACAACCTGCGTCGCGCGACTCATTGCTTTGAAAGCTTGTTAAACGCTAGTCACGGGTTCCGTTCTCCGCGCCTTTGATATTTAAGTAGCTTAATGCCTCTGGCCCCGAGCCACTTTTCCGTTTTTATCCGCGATTCGATGCGCTCATAGCGTCGAGGAAGCGACCGATCGATTACCGGCAGCTTATGAACGTTCCTACACCAGTTTGACTAAGTGAGAAATACCATGCGTAATCCTCTGGAGAGCCTTTCATTTTTCGTACTCGCCCGAGGCGCGATAAATCGTGAATTTGCGTAATACAAAGGCTCGAAGAAAAAAAAATCGATGCCGGGCGGACAACAAAAGTCTTTCGTCATGCACCCACCCGCAGCAGCGGCAAAAAACCTTATCAAGATGATTTGTCATCCCCGGCTCAGATTTTCTCGAGCCGCGCGCTCTCGTATATATATATATATATACTTGATCCATTCAGTGCGCAAGCTACTGTGCGCAGCAACAACAGCGCAGTCACACGCGCGCGCCCGAGTCGCTTTTGCTTTTCGGCTTTGAAAGGCATTCCAGCACCAGCCCATCGCGATTGTGTGGATGTGATAATGAACGCTGATTTGCCTGCTGTGCTGGCGGCTTGTTCTCCTCGTGTTTTCTTTTCTCTTATCCCTTTCTTTCCTTATTCTTCTACGCGAGCTGCTTGCTCATTGAACGGAAGACTGCCTTCGGGTTTTTCTTTCTTTACAACTTCAGTTTTTAATCATATTTCTTTTAATAAACTGTTTTATGTTTCCTTCATTATTTCTGATCATATAGCGTTGGCATGAAAAAATTGTCATAAATATTATTAACAAATAGTTCTGATCATATAAGTGTTATTCTACGCTTGTGAATGATTAAAGCTCCGTTAACATTCAATTAAAACATGACCAAAAAAAAGATCAGATTCATCTTCAAATAACGTATATTTACAGAGTTATATATTTACATGCTCAAAGTAAATATTAATCCGTCTAGCATACTATAGAATACGTAAATATGAAGAATAACGGCTGCTCATGAATTAGCTTTTGTAAAATCCAACAAGTCCGTCAAAACTATACCTATTCATAAATTAATTGAAGGAAGAAAACAAAATATAGAAAATATGCCAGAACTACATAGGGAAACGAAGTGTTCCGCCTCGTAATTATCATCAAGACTCAGGCCTATAATCAAGAAACTACCGAAGAGAAGCCAACTGCCATATACATCTTAATAATTTATCGTAACGTTCGGCGCGTATAACTTCGTCACGCGTATATGTATAAAAGATCTCGCGCACTTAAGTATAAGAGCTTCCGCAACTCGCCATCGTCTCCGCGTCCTTACATATTGTTTATAAAAGGCCCGCGAAGGAATGCAGCGCGCGCGCACACACACACACACACACACGCCAAGGGTAAACTACGCATGTGCAGAAAGAGCTTGCGCAGCTTATCGTGGGAAAACCGAAGCAAGTTAACGGCTTTACGAGTAGTGCAAAGGCCGTTGCTCATTACGACGCGCGCGCGCGCGCTCGCATGTGTCATTACGCGCAGAGTTTAACTACCCTCTGCGAGTACTTTTCTTCTTTTTCGTTGGTGCGCGTGGCTGAAAGAGCCGCGTGCGCGCTTGGGAAACGCGGGCATACATTTCACCAGCCGCGTCTGTGAGAAAAGTCTCGAGCTTCAATTTTCATTGTAAACACGCGCGCCAGTTATTCGGAAGTGACGAATTATATGATGTTCTTTCATCTCTGGCGACGGCAGTGATGCAAATTGTAAAAACAGCCTGTCCGAGGCTTCCGAGAAGTTCCGTTTACTCGAAAAGCTGCGGCGCGTGCGTGATAAAAAGCTTCATCGGTAAACACTCGGAGAAACGTATTCATCAGGCATCTCACCACATCAAAGCTGCGTGCACGAAAGTTTCCTTTCTCTAATCGACTCGCCTTTGATAAAAGCAGCAGCGG